TTTCTCTAGTAATATTTTAATGAAACGTCAAAGCTTCCACGCTTCGCGCAGGAGAGGGAAGGGGGCAATTAAATTCAGACATGGATTAAGAGTTCATCTTCTCTTTCCTTAAAAACAGGCTTTACTTCTTCAGCCAGAAGGGATTAGACCGCCCAGCGAGCCAGCGAGGTCACTGTGACAGGTGGCTATCTCATTAACTCAGCTCTTATTTAACATAAGAAAAAGAGGATCATGGGGGACCAACGGGCACCGATTGGAGAAGTTTTCTATATAGAGGGAGCTTTGAATTTGGCCGCCTTTTAAAGACAAATAATTAAGACGTGCGCTGACCGGACAATTATTGATATTTCTATCTTTCCTTCTAATCACGCACTTGCATTCTCGACATAACTTTTGTTTTCTTTTTCTTTTTAATAGAGCTATAGAATTTCTATTTTAAATGAAAAAAATACACTCGAAGAAAAACTGTTTATACCTTCTACCCTTTTCTATTATCGACCTATTTACTCAATATATTTACAGAAAATTCATTTAATAAAAAGCTATACGATAATATATGCTTCATTGTCTTGCTTGCCGTTGACATGTTTGTTTTTATTATCTATTCAGTCCCCAAATAACTCATAGAGATGTACGTTAGATTTATATTTTCTAAATTCTTCGAAAAACAAAGTACCCCTGATTTCTAGACTGAAATTTATCTTTCAAACGCAACTCATCAGAACATGACGGCGGCATATTATAATATAATTTAAATATTGTCTGTCTCGCCTCGACTTGACAAAGATAATATTATCTGCCTCACCTCGACTTGACAAAGATAACATTTTGGCAGGCATATTTAAAAACAGATCATTGTGGCGGGCATAGTTAAAATCACGACTTCACTTTCAACCAATCAGATGGCAGGATTAGGAAAAATTCTTAAAGTAAGGTATAAAATAGGATTTATATCATTGAAGCATAACAAAAATAAACACAAATATATGATTTGGGTATTAACAACAATAGGCGAGCCAGTAATTTAAAATAGCAAATCTTATGTTGTTACCAAAATTATTTTTTTGAATATGAAAATACAAGGCATCTAATCCATTTACAGGCAGGATGCATCTACATGAAGTGAGCCCACATATATCCACGGTACGACTGGTCTCTTTATTGAAAAAGGCATATCAGAAAAGAATGACCACATATTTGTCTCTAGTGACAAGTTGTTATTGTTGTTTTGGGGTTTATAAGGCTGTCCAATCTGAAAAGATTATTTTCGCAAGGCTTTACTGGTTTTTTGAGTTATTTATCAGTGATGATAAGATGGCGCTGTTTATTTTGCTCTGACAAATTAGATTCTGCTTTATGAAGATATCGTTTGGCAGGATGTGGCGGTGAACCAGGCGGCGGGTGGCTGGTTCAATTAGGCCGGCGGGGGCCCAGACGACCTCATTAAGAAGAGGCTCGGCTCCCATGCGAGAGGCTGGAGTTTGGCGGCATATCACTGTCCTCCCGTCGGCGGCAGCCAGGCTGACCTCATGTTTTCTAGCTTTTTCCGAGGCTCGGTTTCCATTCGAACGGCGGCAGCCGGCGCATGCTTTTGGATGCCATATCCTACCGCCAGGCGGTAGCCGGCTGAGCTAATTTAAAAAATGCAGCCAAGACGCATAAGTGCAGTTAGCTGCCACCGGCTGGTATATTTATTTTTGACGCCTCGCCTTAATATAAAAAAGTTATTTGAATGTGTTATAACGATAATGTGACTGATTGTTTGGTTTTATTAATCGATCCGTTATGACCGGGATGTGCAGTAAATGCAGCTCCTGTCACACCCCTTAATATGTTTCTTGTTTTAGAACTGCAAGCTAAAAGCTTAATTACAGTTTAAATAATAATGAATGTAATATTTATGTTAATCGAGACATCACATTTTACCAAAAATTCCCTTGCTATTAATCGCAAATCGATGGACATGCACAAGGGTGTCGATTTGTATCCGTGGTTGGGGGGGGGGGGGGGGGATGATAGGTGCCAAAATATTTTCGGCAATGGATCATAGCAACCAAGTGGTAGAAGCGTGTGGCAGGTTGCACCCCCTCCACAAGCGCGTAACTAGCATTTCAATTTAGGGGGGGGGGGCGGTCAGAAGTTTCCCCCTCCCCGGCGAATCGCTGAAGCTTTGACGTTTCAAATTATTGAAGAAAATAGATGATTCGATGTACCATTCTCGACTCTCAATCCTTGCTTGAATCAAGTTCCCCTTCTTCCGCGCGTAGTGCGGAAGTTCTGACGTTTCATTAGATTATTATAGAAGACGATTCGATGTACCATTCTCGACTCTTAACTCTTATCCTGCCACAGGGCTAATCCCCCCAGTGCCAGATTTATAACGAGATAATCTGATTAACGCGATGGTACTAACAATAGCGCGAATAAAACACTAGGCACAGTCCAATGGGCATGAACAATAACTGCTATTACGAAAGCGTGCTCGTATGCAAGAAACAGAGAAACAATAGCGTGCATGCAGTCTCATGGCAGGCTATGAGTAAATCCTTGTTTGAATCAAGTTCCCCTTCCTCCGCGCGTAGCGCGGAAGCTTTGCCGTTTCATTAAATTAATAGAGAAAGAAGATTTGTTGTACCGTTCTCGACTCTAAATCCTTGTCTGAATACAGTTTCCCCGCTCCCGCGCAAAGCGCGGAAGCTTTTACGTTTCATTATCTTATTAGAGAAAGAAGATGATTCGTTGTACCGTTCTTGACTCAATTAATCCCTTTTTTCCTACATCCTCTTTCTTTCTTTCTTCTTTCTCTTTTTTCTTTCTTTTTGGCCGGCGTTTTTGGGGGGCGACCACTCCCACCGCCACACCTGGCAATGCGCCTGCCCATCCCTTCCAAGTTATTAGCTTTTTCAAGTCACCCTCAATAAAGATAACATTTCAGAGAATATATGAGAGTGGTAATAAAATTAATAACATGCTAAATGTTAGTCCTGACTCTTGCCTGCAGTGTAGGCCTACCAGACTGATATCGTCTATTTTTAAACGAAATTTAGACAATGGTGAGGGATATCAAGTTCTGAAAGTATTATGTTACCAGTGGGCAAATGCATTAATAAGTAACCAGGAAAGGTTCATGAAGACAGAAAATTCTTTATTTCCTTGTGATAGAAACATACATGTAATGAATATTGATGTCTCCAAACAACAATCTAAAAAAAAATAGTTCTCATTAGTAAATGAAAAACATATTGCTTTTGGTTCATCATTTGACTCTCTTCCTTCTTTTATTGAACAACTGAATCGTCTCTGCGGGAAACTCAATTCAATGAAACAGAATATCACTGATGCAAAATTTGGTTCTCAAAATGACAGAAAATGTCCACTCCTCATACAAACTGTCTGTTTCTTAAAAACATAATATAAAACTTACGTTCCAACTATCAAACAACAAACTACCATTATCTCCTTCTTCACCCAGATATACTTATCATACCAGATACGCTCTAAAATATGAGCATAATATTGCCCTAAGGCCCTGACCATGCAGAGCACTATTTTTTTCTCAAAAACTATAAATTATTCTACTTCTTGCTCTCAAAAGCAAAATCCTCAAAATAATCTTAGTGATGTGGCATTCTTAGAAGGTGCATTATTATTATTGGAAGGGTGTTATAAACAAAACTTCAAACTTAATAACATTCTAACCTTCAGAAAAAGCCTTAACTATCTTATGCCTGTTACGTTTGAATATAAAACAGAGGCCTACATCAGCTTTTCAATAAAACAAAAATAATTTGTGACATAATAATCATTCTCATATACGGTTGTCTCATTAACTTCGTTTTCTATTGATATATGTATGTATTATGTAAATGAGATAGCAAAATTTGTATATTGATGGTCATCTTGCGAGTAATAACCATTGACTATTCTCATCGGGCTCTCATCATTAATTTTTCTCTTCATTTTTTTTTTGATGGCGAATTATTGGGGGGGGGGGGATGATTGTACAGGCCATCCCCCACTCGAAATATTGGGGGGGGGGGATATATCCCCCCCCCCTATCCCCCAGGATCGACACCCATGGACATGCAGTAATTATGACATCATTATTATTTCCTAATTCAATAGCATCTTAACCTACAATGAAATTGATGCACTTACGGTCGTGAAAATGATAAAAGTATATAATTTATTCCCTATCGTTTAAATTGATAGATCTCTAATTTTGTTTTTTCTTTTATTTGGGACATGAATGGCATCTCAACAGATAGGGAAAGTGTGTATTGAGGGTTGTAATCTACGTGAGAATGACCCAACATCATCACGTGACCTAGCCAGGTTTCTATGTTTCCTGCCTTGTCTCACCGACCTGACGATAAAGAACTCTGACGGTGTATACATGAATCTTTTCCTTCCTGATGATTTCTACCATGAACTTGCTCGTCAGGCCCCATCCTCAAAGGTGATTTACAAGGTGTTTTAATTTAACACATGGAAAAGAAGACATTTGTTACACCGTTACACTAAAAGATGAAACTGTCAATTACTTTGTACAACTATTTCATTGGGGCAATTTTAAACATGACAGTTAATATAAAAAAGTTATTTGAATGTGTTATAACGATGATGTGACTGATTGTTTGGTTTTATTAATCGACCCGTTATGACCGGGATGTTCAGTAAATGCAGCTCCTGTCACATCCCTTAATATGTTTCTTGTTTTAGAACTGCAAGCTAAAAGCTCAATTACAGTTTAAATAAGTAAGAATGTAATATTTATGTTAATCGAGACATCACATTTTACAAAAAATGCGCTTGCTATTGATCATAATTCGATGTACATGCAGTAATACATCATTATTATTTCCTAATTCAATAGCATCTTAACCTACAATGAAATTGATACACTTACGATCGTGAAAATGATAAAAGTATAACATTTATTCCCTATCGTTTAAATCGATAGATCTCTAATTTTGTTTGTTCTTTTAATTGGGTCATGAATGCAATTTCAACAGATAGGGAAAGTGTGTATTGAGGGTTTTGATCTACGTGAGAATGACCCAACATCATCACGTGACCTAGCCAGGTTTCTATGTTTCCTGCCTTGTCTCACCGACCTGACGATAAAGGACTCTGACGGTCAATACATGAATCTTTTCCTTCTTGATGATTTCTACCATGAACTTGCTCGTCAGGCCTCATCCTCAAAGGTGATTTACAAGGTGTTTTAATACAATACAAGGAATAGCAGATATTGGTTACACCGTTGCACTGAAAGATGAAACTGTCAATAACTTTGTACAACTATTTCATTGGGGCAATTTTAAACATGACAGTTAATATAAAAAAGTAATTTGAATGTGTGTTATAACGATAATGTGACTGATTGTTTGGTTTTATTAATCGACCCGTTATGACCGGGATGTTCAGTAAATGCAGCTCCTGCCACACCCCTTAATATGTTTCTTGTTTTAGAACTGCAAGCTAAAAGCTCAATTACAGTTTAAATAAGTAAGAATGTAATATTTATGTTAATCGAGACATCACATTTTACAAAAAATGCGCTTGCTATTGATCATAATTCGATGGACATGCAGTAATTATTACATCATTATTGTTTCCTAATTCAATAGCATCTTAACCTACAATGAAATTGATACACTTACGATCGTGAAAATGATAAAAGTATAACATTTATTTCCTATCGTTTAAATTGAAATATCTCTATTTTTCTTCTCATTTTTATGTCATAAATGTCATCTCAACAGATAGAGAAGATGTGTATTGAGGGTTGTGATCTACGTGAGAATAATCCATCAGCATTGCGTGACCTAGCCAGGTTTCTAGGTCTACTGCCTTGTCTTACCGACCTGACGATACAGGACTCTGACGGTGAATACATGAATCTTTTCCTTCTAGATGATTTCTACCATGAACTTGCTCGTCAGGCCTCATCCTCACAGGTGATTTACAAGATGTTTCTATGTAATACATATATGATGAACAGGGGCGGATCTAGCTTTTTGCTAAGGGGTGGGTTTGACCAAAATAATGACGATGCAGAGCATCGTCCACGAGCCGCGAAGCGGCGAGCCGATTTTTTTTTGGGTGTTTATTTGAACCCCGTAAGTGATGTTTTCCTGGCATCTATTAACACAATGGAGACCATAAAAAGCAGTGCATGATAACGTCTTTTTAAATCAAGTAACAGTTTAATACATAGTTATATCCAGAGTTATCATGTGTTTGGTTAAGTTACCAGATGAGTTGAATATCTTCTCACAATATTTGCACTTGAAAGGGTTTCTCTCCAGCGTGCGTTCTTTTTTCTTTCTTTTTTTCTTTCTTTTTTTCTTTTTTTCCCCTTTTTTTTTGGGGGGGGGGGGTTGCAACCCCCCCAACCCCCCCTCTAGATCCGCTTCTGATGAATACATGAAATAGAAGATATTGGTTACACCATAGCCTTGAATGATGAATAATGAAACTGTCAATTTCTTGTACCACTATGAGTCTCATTGAGCTCACGATTAAGGATGCACATGAACCCCCTTTATGGTTTCCTGAAGGCTTCTACGAGGTGATTGCTCCTGAGGGTCCATCTTCAAAGGTATCAACACATAAATATACATATCAATAACCTCGAAAATTCATTTTGTAATCATTTTGTTCTGATCTCGCTTTGAATTGTACACAATGGCTTAGGTTTTTCATTATTTATTTATTCATCAAGTTCTCTATATACACATATATATTTATATATCTATGTTAGTCTTCTATGCGGCCCATTTTACTAACCACAATATTCATAACATTCATGATCATAAGCTCATACCAAGAACGACACAATATGGAGAAGAGAATAGTAACATACTTCGAAATACTTGGTATGCTCGTTTACAAATGCAGATTTTTCAAAAGAATACCGTTAGATATTCCTGATATCAGTGTAAAACTAGATGTAATTGAATAATATTTTAGTCATTCTGAGAAGAGAAAGCCCCATACAGTTTAGAAAAGCTCGTCAGTAGAGGGTCGATATTCCTTTAATGTAGATCCACACTTGCATAATATTTGCATAGAATATGTTACAAAAAATGATCGCTATTAAAAAACAGAAACACATGAATTTTTGATTATACAGCATAGTATTTTGATGTTCTACATTATACCCCTACAAAATGACCAACAAATATTATTAATGGTGTCATCAATTTGATAACCATCCTGTAACAAATCAGTTCCATATAGGCCTACAATATAAATAATTGTGTTTAGTAGTACGTAGTCATTGATCAGGGGATAGGCTTGAAGACCTACCAATTATTATAACATAGAGTCTAAAGATCAGTGTGTGTGCGTGTGTTCTTGCGTTTGTGAAGGAGGGAGAAAGAGAATGGGGAGAGAAAATGAGGCGGACGGGCGGGCAACGAAATATCACTGTTTCATTGTTTAAAATAATTTTGCCTGTGTATTTTACTCTCAGAACCATTTCTTTAACAAGAAGCTACATTTAGATGAAAGGTTTGAAGAGTTGAAGGAAAAAGATCTTAAACAACAAATCGAATACATCAGACATCTTGTTCACCCCACGCTGTCAGAGAAAACATCCCGTCCAACTAGTAGAGCCCACGAACCTCTGTCGTCACACCAAGGATCCGTGCATCAACAGATAGAATACACACCCTTCGTCACTCCACCAGGGTGTCCCCAACTTTGTGAAACGTCGCAACAAGAGTATATTTCAGATCAGAAGGCAGGAACTGTGGCAGAGTCCGACCACAGCAAGATTGAATCGGACGAATTGACAACACATCTTGTCAAGGAATTCGATCGATTCTTTCAGACCTATGTAGCATCTCAAGTGAACTCGCAAGGACTAGAGACCAATCATTTTAGAGAGGACATTGCAATAAACAACTCTTCCTTTTCGTCGGACCTTCCCAATAGTAGTACCACTTCAATTCCTGGAACAAATATCAGAGGCCACCGTACTGGCTTCAAACCCACATACGAACTTGATAACTACGACTTGGATGTTCCATCCACCAGCGGTGTGAATGCACAAAGTGGCAAAATATCTGAAGGTAAATATCGTGAGGGTAAGATAAGATGGACCCCTAATTATACTTAGATCTTAACAGTATAAAGCTTTGTAGAGGGAAATGTAATCAGGAGGAGAGAATATCGATTATATTGAGTATGTAGAAGGCGCTTTCTACATTTCGCAAAATGCTGAAGGCGCTGGGAAAGTATGCCTACATGAAAAATGTGATGCCGTATAAAACGTAGTACATCGAAATCAGGAAACAAGAAGTTTACATTAAGACACGGTGTGGATTTTTTGTTGTTGTTTTTGTTGAATTAATCACAAAGATTTGTATAGACTGGAAAAGAACTGAATTAAATCACAGTCAGTTCAGTTTGGAACTGGTGATTTTAAGTGAACAATTGGAAGAATGGACAATATTGCTCACTTTAAAAGGCTGTGGTAGCTGATTCCAAACAGTTGATCTGGCATGTGCGAACGATAAGTTCCCCCATTATTTTATCTTCTTCTTTCTCTATCTCTTTCTAATAATGTTTTTTAATTTTTCTACATTTTTCTATTACTCTTCCTCTTTCTCTTTCCCTAATATCTTTCTTTCTCTCTCTCTCTCTCTCTCTCTCTCTCTCGCTCTCCCCCCTCTCTCTCTCTCCCTCTATCTCACTTTACAGGCCTGTCTGCAGTAACGCCAGGTCACCTACAACCAAGGTAAGAGAACCATAACGCACACGCAAATACTTGTTATTTGCTTTATACCTGTTTTATACCTTAAATTCACTCTTACTTATCATCTTCCAACCTGTTCCTTAAAAAAAATACAACATTCTTCTAACATTGATGACTCTATTGTGGAATAGGCAATAAGTATGATTAATGTAATAAGTTTATAATGTCTCCATCTTTTAATCAATGCATTTATTAATCATGTTGATCTTTGTTAAACCTTCCCCATTTTCTATTGATAATTCTTTAATTATATATTAATAAGTTTAAGATAGCAATATAGTCATCGTGCTTTTAATTTCTTGACATTTTCTTCCCTTAAAATATTGTAGTAAACGATAGTCATCATTATTCCGAAACTGGTTAATAAGATTTATACTGAATGATCAAATTATTTTTTTCATATCACTGGTCATATTTGCCATGCTTTATACATGTTTTAAAATGGAGATGTTAACACGGTGAATAGATATACAATCTTTGCTTTAAAATGATATTTCCCTTTCTCTTTTGTACTAATATCGATTGATATGATTTGTCATGTAATTAGTGAGGAAGACATCCAAAATAATCCTGAGCCTGACTCTACCGATGAAGATGACACAGCACGAGGGGACAATCAATCAAAGAGCCATGATTCCGAGGATAACATTCTGGATGGACCTCCAAGGAAGAGAAAAAAGAAGACAAACCGACAGACGCCACCTTTTTGATTGCCTTCAAATTCAAACTTTGACGTGTGCCATTTGAATATGTTAAATTATAGGTTAAGTTCTAAGAAAGACCAGAAACAAGTTGTGAGTTTGCTTCATTGTGATCTTTTGTTTGTTTGGGAAAATACGACAGAAAAATATATACCCCTAAAATGGCTCAATAAAATGTTTTCATCGCTGATATAGGATGATAAATTTATGAAATATCTGGACCAGATTTCATACCATATTTTGTGTAGTCCCATACATCCATATCTGTGAACGATTCATATGGCTTTCATCAAGACTAAGTCGAAAATGTTCTTAATAATAAGATGATCCCAAAACCTAAAAATACATAGTTATATGTGACATTACTTTATTAATCGCTTGCAGTCAATTCCTTTGACAAGTCAATCGAATGACAAGGACCCATCTTTATCTGTAAGCGATTGTTTTAGGTTGACACTGACATAGCATTATGTCACAGAAAGATAATGAAATGTTCGTGATGTGTGAAATATGTATTCAAGATAACAGTGCAATAAACGAGTCTTTCAGCATGCGTGTATATAAATATAAACGTGTATGAATATTATGGCGCATTTTAAACTAGTGCAATATGAATTCATAATTGTGCTACCCAAATATAGAAGTGCAACACAATTTGTGGCATATTTTTGAAAGTTTTAGGAAACTCGGCAGGAGCGAATCTCTAGAAAAGCGTTATACTGTTGACATGAATAATTGTTGAATATGGTTATTTCCATTCCGTTCTTCCCTAGTCAGAACAAGTAAATGTAAAGTTGTTTTTCTCTGTAGATTGTGATATTCATGTTCAATTATGTTCTTGTTAATATGATATTTTACCAGTTGAGCCTGTTTTCTCATATGATCTAACCTCACATGTCAGTGCCATCGTTATATATATTTTTAATTTTGTTTATTCATAACACATGTTATATATATAGCGTTGGTTGCTTTGATTTACTTATGTACATATGCATCGGAAGCACAGGGTCATTTTCATAATTTGTTTATTATGGCGTTGCCTTACTATTACATAATAATTGAATTAAGTCGGTATTTGATGTAATATAATATGTTTATATGTTTGTATTTTAATCTCAATATTTTCTTTGTGTAGATAGGCCTACATGTATATGTAAATCTATTAAGCAATATGAAACATATACTATTAATAATAGTATATGTTTCATATTGCTATATTGCTAAAACTGCTTCCAATTTTGTAATTTATCGACTTTATGTTTCTTTACCATCTGATTGTCATTCTGATGTTCTGACATTGCAAGTAATTATCATTTTCTCAGATACCAATTTCAATTTGATGGTGGAAATTTATTTAGGCAGTGATTCTGTTCATTATAGTATTTAGTAGCTGTTTCTACTGCAGTCCAGTCAGTAGTGTCCAGTCATTCCAGCATTCATTTCGGTCGCAATACGATGTAATATCATATGCTCATACTTTTCTTAGTCTCGACTATTTTGTTAAGGTATGTGCATTGTTATAATGTTGATAAATCTGCTTCCATTTTCATATTTTGTTCATTTGATATTTTTTTTACCATCTCTGATTGAATTCTAAATATCCTAACGTAGCAGCGTCAGCGCAGGTAGATGAGAAAGTCCTTTATTTATCCTGCCAGATACCGTTTACATGTATTTGATGCAAGTTTAATGAGGTGGTACTTCTAGATCTATTCACTAGTCTAGTATAAGCGGTGTCTTTAAATACAGTCCCGTCAACATCTGTTAGGCCCCGTAACACTAAGCTTGGCAATTGGTCGTACGATTGTTTTTTGCGATTGATTGCACATAGTGTTCAATGCAATCAATCTCAAAATTCAATCGTATGATCAAGTGCTAAGCTTTGTGTTACGGGGCCCTGATTATTACTAAGTATTGAAATCCATTGTTGATGTATAATGACCTATTGGCTTATTATGTCCTGTCATGTCCTGTGTATAGCATTCTATGGAGTTGTTTTATCTGTATAGGCCTATTTTTTCGTTGAGATGAGAAACTTAGTTTCTGTTTGGTGTAATGAAATATATATTAGCGCCAGCTATCAACACAATCTACGATGGGATCCGAATATGACGCTAAAAGAACACCAATCTGAATTGCTTTTGAGCCTCTGTATTCTTTATTATTCCTCCATACTAAAAGACACCATCAAACATTATTTTAGTATTAACGTTAACTGTTGAACATGTTCATAGAAAAGCACAGGATCATTTTAATAAGTTGTATACTGTGCTGTTGGCCTGTTGCCGTATTTTTGCATTGTCATGTTGTATTTCATTCTTTTCAGTATTTTGCTATGATTATGTTTTTTTGTATTTTCAACTCAGTCAGTTTTTGTAGATATATGAATATTTATAAATATCTTTATTACTGCCATATTGTTAAATCTGCTTCCATATTTGTATGTTTTTATATTTGAAATCCGTTTTTAATGTTTATGACCTTTTTGCTAATTGTCTCTTGTCATAGCATTTGAATAGCATTCTTGTTTAGAGATGTGAATCTCTGTCTCTGTTTGGTGTAATAGCACTAACTATCGACACAATGTATGTTGGGATCCGAATATGATTCTATAAAGAACACCGATCTGAATTGTGTTGAGCCTCTAAAAGAAAACGTTAGTATACCTCCATATTGAAAAGACATCATAAAACATTATTAGCGATCGAGTATTTACATGATGGTAGACAGCTTCATGGACAATTATACTTCACTATACATTTGTTTCTCTTTCTCTCGAAGTGTGTTTATTAAATAATGTTAGATGTTAGATAAACTGCCTATAAAGACTGATTTTCTTGTCTCCCTCGAGTGGTCATTATACACAGGTTCCAGCTTATAACCTATCGATGATTAGGTGATACGTACATCCGTATCACCTTTTGATTTTGTCAAGATTTTTATTATTTATTTGGCAATACGTACGGTGCGTATTACCTCTTGATTTTAACAATATTTTTCTTTATATATTTGTTTTCCCTGAATATGTTCGCATGATATCTCAAGACTGGATAAAGCCATTTGTCATGAAACTTGCCATGATGATAATCCTCATCCACCTTAGAACTGCGTGACTTTTCAGCGACGCTATAGCATCGTGACGTCATCATGACGTCCTTATGTGAAATGTAATGAATGGTCGTATATCAGCCAAGCGATATCAATTTCAAATCAAATTTTGCATGAGTCATGCTCAGGTCATGGGTCAGAATGTAAGCTAACGTGGAGGCGCCTGCCCCTACAAGCGCGCGTGTTAGTGTCCGTCAAAAAATAAAGTGCTCGAAACCCCAAACCAAGTAATGATGATGATTTTTATTCGACAAGCTTCTAAAATACAACAATATACAATAATAACAGATCAAAAATAAGTCAGCTTGAACAGGATAACCCACGAAAGCTCGAGAGCTTATTTCCAGTGGGGTCCCCAACAGACATATACAAAATGAACAGGTTAAAATAGTAATATTTACAGACATATAAGAAAAGAAAAAATAATTACTTATTAAAGATAATAATAATAATAACAACATTGATGATAAAAATGAGAAGAAGGAGAAGAAGAAAAAGAGGAGGAGGAAAAAGAGGAATATAATGAAGAATTTCTATAATTTCTATAACGTACAAAAACATAAGTTTATACAAAATGAAAAAGTATGAACCGGCAGAAGAATACAAATTTCAATCATATAACATGTCATTCACTTCTCTTCTCTGTCTTGGCTCAAGTATTAGGTATTCTTTTAATTTCCTCTTAAAATGAGCATAGTTTTCTAATTCCTTTACAGCATTGGAAAGGGAATTCCAATGTTTTATGGCATTGTAATAAAACGAATTTCAAATACTGCCTACTAATTTCTGGTTAAGTTAAAGTTGAATCGGCTATTTCTTGTATTATAATCCTGTACGTCAGTAACAAGATCGAATGGGATCGAATATAATGATTCGACCTAGTATGATATATTTTATGCACGTGATACAATACGAGTTGTTTTGCTCTTTGGTCAACTTCAAGAAAACCAGCTTTAGAAAGTTTGCTGTAGCCAACATGAGTTCTTGGAGCAGAACAGTTGATAAATCTTACCATTTTGTTCTGTATAATCTTCAACTTCTTTTGATCTGACTTGTTTATGTTACTATACCATGCAGGGTTAGCATAGTCAAATAAACATTGAATAAGAGCAAAACAGAGTGTACGTCTTGCTTTTAAATCCATACAACTTTGATATCTGTACACAAATTTCAGGCGAGAATTTGCTTTTTTTACAACTGATTCTACTAAAGATGAAAATGAAATTGCCCTAGCCAACTCTATGCCTAAATACTTCACAGACTCTTTTATCTTGATTACTTGATTATTGTGTGTCACTTTAAATTCAAATTACTTTTTAGAACTACTTTTAGAACAAAACAAAATGCTTTCTGTTTTCCCAAGTGTAAAGAAAGCTTATTATCAGTCATCCAATCGAAAAACGTAGACAGCTCATTCACTGAGCTTTTTCTGAATATATTTAGGATCTGGATTTGAATAGAGAACAACGCTGCCATCTGCGTACACTAATATTTTAAAGTCTTTTATACAAATACACATATCATTGATATAACTTGTAATATAATTGGGCCTAAAATGTTTCCCTGAGGAACACCGCATGTTATGGGCATTAGTTTGGAACGAATATCATGAATGGCCACTATTTGTTGTCGATGAGTCAAGTAGGATCTGAATCACTCTAAACTTGTCTTATTAAAACTCATTGGTTGGTAACTTCTTCAAGACGCAATGATTAACTGTATCAAAAGTTTTTTTTTTGCAAATCAAGGAGCACCATACCAACAAAGCGCCTTTTGGAAGTTTCTGTCCTCAAATAATCAGTCAAATGAATTAGACATGTTTCAGTTGAATAGTCATCTCGAAAACCGGATTGAAATTATTAAATTATGTCATTGTCTTTGAAGTATTTTTCAATTTAAACGTAGACCAATTTTTCGAGAATCTTTGATTCTACGCTTAAAACACTAATAGGTCATAAACCTAAAGGTGTTACAAAGTTTTGGTATGGGGTCATGAATTTGGTTCAAATGAATATATTTTAAGCATATGCGATCCTACAATATTCAATGATCGTTGTCGCGGTTGAAATCGAGTCTAAAGTGATAACATTGTAAATAATAAACTCTTTATGTTGTATAGCTCCCTCTCAAGGTCAAGATATTAATTTAGCCATAAAACAATGGTTCTTGACTAAATTCGACCAATTGGCTATTCCCGTTTGGAAATTATATATCACAACTACATACTCTGAGATTTTCATGGTCGCAGCTACTATTGTATGGCCGTAGGCAATATTTGAAAATTTAAAATTTAAAGATAAACTTGAGTTATGGTAAAAAAAGAAAATGAATTCTCACATAATCTAACGAAACTTACACTGAATGTTCAAGATTACAAATAAATGTCATGTGCCGAACAATTTTGGAAGAAAATGTATACTGGCTGAGTAATGAGCATAGAAAGATAAGGAAATCAGGGTAGTACTAGCCCCGACACCATGTGTGTTGTCCCATATATATCTATCTGTGTAAGTGATTGTTACTTTACCAAGACTCTGCCAAATTTATGATGATTTTGATGACTCTAGAACCTTGCATTACACACCATTACTTACATGCTATACGATCAACTTTTCTGATCCATTCCACACCTTTTCTTTCACAATGCAATCGCATTACCAGTACTCAAGTTTATCTTTAATATTCAATTTTTTTCGAAAGCAGAAGTGTTTTGGGGGCTAAATTTTCTAGTGCTTATAATACATCCGCAGGGGCAGCCAAATATATCAAAATTAAAAGAATCACTATCCAGCCAATTTTCGAAATTTTCCAAAACTTTGTATTACCTTTAAATGGTGGTACTTTATTTAAGTTAAAATGATTGGAGATATACATCGCGACACCTCCGCCAAATTTATTTCTTCTATTTTGATTAAGTTGGTGTAACTGGTCAAAGATGTACAATACATGTGACTTCCAGCAGCACGATTGAGTAAGTTTTTCCAGTTTGATTCTTGCAAAACCTAATAATATACCTCGACTTCTAGCTACCTGATCACTCTTTCAAATTTACTTCCAGAATATTTGTTGTATTATCATGACCATTACATTTTAAAATGATAATCATTATTATTATAATTTATATCAATAATCATTATCATTATTATTTATTTGGCGAACAAACAAATTCAAGAAACAGTGAATGCGTAACAACGGTTAAATTCAAAATCAATCACACGGATGTCGGGAAAAGAAAAAGATTAGTTAAATAATGTTAACCGAAGGTTCTTTCCCTATCAATGTGGGTTAACATACACAAATAGCACAGAATAGCAAAAAAACACCATATAATTAATTGCAAGTATATTAAAGAAGAGAGAAAAAAAGAAGATGTTGCATTATTCTTATTTCGTATTATTATTATGTGCACGTGTCTTCAAAAGAATTATTATGACATGACCAGTACTCTAGTTTTATTTGATAAATACTGGAATGAAAAATTGCTGAAACTAATCCATCCATTATTAATTAACACCCACACCCAAACCTATTATAGGTCGAGAGTTATTAATTGCATCAATTGCTAAAACAATAGTAAGTACGTGTGTTTTGCTAGCTACTTTGTGATAGATTGCTGAAACTAAACTTATGATAAATACAGAAGTAGAAGTCGTTTAACATTTTCTGGGCTCTATTGTGCTAAGATATTTGATGGTAATCATAACATATGAGTTGGTATAGTTTCGCTTTACAGAAAGCAAACTTAAGAGATTGCAGGAGATAAAGCCTGTTTGGCCGAGGAAAATCGCATTCATTGCGTCTGTTATAGCGTTGTGATTGGGTACATCAAATTTGAGTGGCATTTACTCAAACGTTAGAATTGTGGCCCTAGAGATTTGACGCCTGTTTTATTTCTAATTGACAATCATCAACGTATCTACACTTATATTCAATGAAGGTAAGGTATTTATTTATTTACTTCTCATACCTTCAGTTAGGTCAGTTACGCGATTTTGTTTAAAGGGGCGCGAAATAAATTTGATATACTGCAATAGGAATGGGCGACATATTTGTTACTATAGGATTTAATTTGTTTTTGTAAAGAGCTTTAAATCTGTGTTAAAAGAAGAAAACATGCCCCTGTTTGGATCTATTTTGTTTTCTAGTTGCTGTATTAATGTATGAACCCGTGGTTCTAAAATAAGGAAAATATGTTACATGTGTTGTTCTTAATCATTATATTTTTTTTTTTTTTGGGGGGGGGGGGCAATAGGTTATCTTTGATACTCCGAGATAAATTCATTGAACATCTTTAAAAAGAATTTGGAATTGTTTTTATCAAAAGCACGATTATTCATGTTATTGTTGTTGGAAAGGTGGGGCAAGCCTCATTGGGGCAACCATTGTTAACAACAAATAATTAAGTTTACTGTTTGAAATAATTTGTTTCCCTTTTTTAAAAACAGGATCGGTCATTATGGCATTCAAACACGGAATGCTTCTGGACCCTTCGCTTTTCCTGGTAATCATAAGCTTTTTGCAAGCACTTCCTGCAGACACAACAGTGTTACCCTACAAACGAAGATATGTTGAAAACTCTGTCGAGAACTGTGCATTTGAGATTCAATCGAATACTGCTAATTGCGAGAGACTCAGGTTAACGAACGTTCCCAAAGAGCTCCCAGAGGATGTTGAAATCCTGAGGATCAGTGAGAACAGTATCAAGTCTTTATTGAACTCCTCGTTTGAAAGGTACCCTCATGTCACCTACCTAGACGTCTCCGATAACGACATTAGAGTGATAGAACCCATAACTTTCTATCCCCTCAAAGAATTAGCCCTCCTACGTATGTTCCTCAACCCATATCTTGTACTTCCAACAGGACTACTCAGGTGGGCCACTAAGTTGTCCTATCTTGATGTGTCCCAGTCAGGCTTGAAATCGCTTCCGGGTGACATTTTAAGATGGAGCCCAACATTGGATAAAGTATTTCTCAGCAACACCGAGCTGACTTCAGTGAATATCAGTCTTTGTGGCACAGTAGGCTCCGTCTTCTTGTCAAAGAATAATATTGAACAGCTCACAGATGGAACTTTTACCTTCACTTGTCAAACGGATGAACTCTACCTTACACGGAATCCCATCCGATCAGTTGATCCCAGTGTTATTGAATCACTACAAGTCCGATCATTGATGCTAGGAGGATACACTTTGACTTTAGATGTCGTTAGAAATATCTTCATTGGTGTCTCACGTTCGAAGATAAAGAACCTCGCAATCAACTATGCAGGTCTTGGCATTTCTGGGGCAATTCGAAAGGATCTATTTGAGCCACTGCGCAATATTTCTCTTTCATTGCTTGAATTGTCCGGAAATAGTTTCAGCCTTCATTCTTCTATATTCTCGAGTTTAAATAAGGTCCCCAAACTAGTTCTCAATTGGGACGAGATAAACAGAATCGAACCGGATTTCTTTGAAGGTATGCAACAGTTAAGGGTGTTAAATTTGAACTTTAATCGAATACGAACCATCAACAAAAATGGTTCTACATGGAATAGTGATTTAGTTGAGATGCACTTATCTGACAATTCTTTAATCGAAATCCACCCCTCCACATTTCGCGGTTTGCAAAATTTGAGGCTTTTAGACCTAAAGAATAATGAAGCCCTTCATAGGCTAGAACTTACATCCTTTTCGGGACTAAAACGAATTGAGACCATCAAACTTTCCCATAGCAGTCTTATTAACTTTAAATTGATAATCCCGAGCTTAACATCATTTTCTATGGACAGTTTCCGCTACCGTTTGGCTTTGAGACCTGGATCATCCTTCAACTATACAAGGTCTCTTGAACATTTGGGAATTACAGATTCGTGGGTTTCTCGTTATACAATGTGGGATTATAAAGCGAATGTATCCCTTTTTGAAGGGTTGTTTAATCTTACGACTTTGGATCTGAGTAGAAATCCCATGATGTCAAGATCGTTCAAAGATACGCAACCGCGGATCTTTCAATCCCTCTCAGCTCTACAAACCCTTCGTCTCGAACACTGTAACATTTCAACAGTTCATTCAACAGCCTTCATAGGGTTGGAATCGCTCCAAGTGCTGAATTTAAAAGGGAACATAATTCAACAACTTCCTTTAGATTTACTGAAGGGCTTGGGCCAAGTGCAAAGAATAAATCTTGCTGACAATCGTTTGACATACCTCGACAAAGAAATATTTTCCAATAACCGAAGGATGACAACTCTTCTCTTGTCAAACAACAAATTTACGGTCTTAAACCAGAGTACTTTTAAGCCAATTGAATCGTCGCTTTTCTCTATCGATCTTTCGTTAAATCAAATCGTATGTGACTGTGATCTCAGTTGGCTTCTCGATTGGATCGGTCGTCCTATTGAACTCCTCAACAAAAATACAACTCTTTGTTCGCCAGCTTCTTTAGAGCCGCTCCACTACAAACCTCTCCTTGATTTTGATCCCTCGGAGCTTTGTGGCCTTAGCATCCCACTCGTCCGTTTGTCTTCCCTCGCTGTCATTTGTCTGGTCGCCATCGCCGTGCTCCTTCATCACTATCGATGGCAATTAAGGCACAGACTGTGTCTCCTGAAGTTTGCCGCCCTTGGGTACCTGGAGATACGAGACACTCGGGAACACGACGAATACGAGTTCGATTTGAATATCATCTTCTACGATGATGACGAAGCATGGGTCCGTGAACATCTTCGGTTAGCCATCGAAGAACAGCTTCCGCAATTCCAGAGCAACGTCTTTGGTGACGAGGATCTCGTCCCCGGTATGCACTATTTGGAGGCAGTCGACTATGTGGTGAGGCGGAGTTACAAAACCGTTGTACTGCTCAGCAGTGCCGCTGTCCGCGATCGCTGGTTCATGCTCAAGTTCCGTACGGCCATGGACCACGTGAGTGATACCCAGACCGAGTTTGTCTTCGTGATTTTCCTGGAAGATATTCCCGACGAAGAACTACCCTTCCTTGCAAGGATGTACCTAAGTGATGGCAGACCCTATCTGCACTGGCCTGAAGATATCAGGGGACAGTTATATTTTTTTGATGAACTAACCAAAAATCTGACCATTAATCTGAAGACGAATGATTTGATTCCTGATGGATAGTATTAATTTTCACGATGTTTCACGACGGAGTAAAACGAACTTTTTAATAACTCAGTTTCTTTGACTGTTGACGACAAATCTTGACCTTATTTCCTAAATTTGTATCAGTTAGAAATTGCATTAGCTGTCATAAGCTACCGCGAGATCGTTGCATTTGATTAGCTGAGAACAAAATGTTGTCATAGAGTTTAAGCACTCATTAAAGATATGAAGTTCTCCATATAAAAAAGGTCAACCCCCCCCCCCTCCTCGCGCTCCATTGCGTTCTCTCTTCTCTCTCTCTCTCTCTCCCTCTTAAAGGTACTATGTCCCTTTTGCAGGCCCAAAAAATTAAAAGGTTAGAATTCCAACGACATTTGAAGATAATATTTAGAACTCCCTCAAAACAAAGGGGCTTAATTTTTTTTTTTTTGGGGGGGGGGGTGTAACGACCGTAAGTTGTCGAATCGAATATAGGGAATGCAGTCGCTAAATTAAATAATCTGAATTTCAGACTTTAGAACCGAATGGTAAGATTCGATCAGCTTAATTTGGGCCATTACAAGAAGTGAGTTATTGATGTATACAAATGCTCATGTACCCTTTACAGCTCATTTTTATGTATGTTAATACCAAAGAAAAAGGTCCTTCAGTCACTCAATAGTGTATGACAGTGAAGTCTAAACATTAAACGGGTTTCCTTGCATAATTTGAATAGTAGATCTCCGTCAACGTTTAATCTTCACAAATAGGACATACATGACAATTTCATAATTCCTGCACATTTCTACAGAATTTGATGTTGAGTGCAAAAAGGAGACACTACCTTGAATCAACTAGAACTCGATTCTAGGGAATGTTTTTCTCCTTTTCCTATGTCCTCAATTATGTTGAAGAAACCTGGAAAAGATTGTTATTAGCAGGTGGGATACATAGGGAATATTGGAAACTGGAATACTGTATTAGTCAACAAAATCTTTCTGAAAGTTCTATGATTATATCATATAATTCTCTAATGTCATCATGTGTTATATTGTAATATTGTATGGGGCAGTAAAGTAGTATTCCTTATATCAAAATTGAATTTACCGTTCCCCAAAATGTGCTAATGTTATTATACAACTCAATAGTATTAATCCATTTGTCTGTCTGCAATATAGTGTGGGGTGATTCATATTCGTCTCATCTAAACAAAATGAAAATACTTCAAAAGAGGGCAATTCGAATTTTAACAAATTCAACGTATAATTCTCATATGAAACCATTATTTAGCAGAATGAAGATTCTTCCTTTTCAGGAACTAATATCACTTATAATACTTGTTTATTTATGTATCATTTCCACACTGGTAATCTTCCACACATTTTCCAAACACATTTATTAGTAATTCATCTGTTCATTTACATAACACAAGGCAAAAAATGTTATTACACAAACCCCCTGTACGTACAAGTAATTTGTAAAAATGGGTAGGACTATAAGTTTTAATCTCATGTTTCGCATTTTACATGTGCTTCCTCTTCTCCCTCTTTCTTTTTAATATTCTACTCTTTTCTTCTCTCTCTTTTTCTCTCTCTTTTAATATGCTTTAAAGTGCATTGTATTGTGTGTGAATGAGTAAATATGGCTGAGTGTGTTTGCAAGATATTGGTAATTGTTTTGTAATAAGTATGAATATACACATATATCTTTTTTGTTTTGTTTGTTATAGTATGTTTTTATTATATATATTATTATATTTTTTTATGTAATTGTAAATTAATGGGCCCCATTTACATGATAAGGTTCTCAGGGGTTCATAGCCTGTCTTGTACCAGTACCAGTATGATTGTATTTTTGTTTAAATAATAATAATAATAGCCTAATAGTCCGCTCCAAATTTTATTAAACCGAAATAAATTTTATTGAATTGAGTATCACAATAATTAATTCTTTATTTTCCTTTCAAAAGAGAGCGATTCGCATGATTACTTACTCAAATTATTTATCACACACATAATCTTTATCTCATGAAGAAAAAAAAATATTCACATTTGTCAGACAAGCATTTTTATGTATGAATATTATCATAATTAACTCCTATTTCTATTTCACAATTTTTACTGTTCGAACTCAATCATTCACAAATATCGCACCCGTCGTTCAGAAAATTATAGCTTCACCAGAGCTGACCACCTGTGTACAATACAATTGCAACATAGGAGTTGCTTTGTCAGACGTGCACGTAGCATCACCAGGAAAAGAAATGTAATGTGCAGGTATGGTATGGTATGGTGTGGTATTTTTTTAATCATGCATCGCAGTTACATATACTGAATTGCACATCGATATATATTGCATTTAAAAAAACGAGTGTACAATTTAAAACAGTATCATTTACATAATTATAAGTACACGTATATATCACATGTTTATCCTTAATTTTGTACCAAATGTAACACAAAAGCAAAAATACGAACAAGGAGGAAAACGGGAATATGTACCTAAACAAAATATGAATTCAAAGTGAGAAAGAGAGAAGGAAAAGATGTAGAGAAAAGAGGTTAAAAAGGTAAAACGAAAGAGAGAGAGAGAGAGAGAGAGAGAGAGAGAGAAGAAGAAGAAGAAGAGGAGGAGAGGGGGAAGGAAAGTGAGAAGAAGAGAGAGAGAGGATAAGAGACCGAGAGATATAGTGAAGAAAGAGAAAGAGCAGGAAAGATAGAAAGATGGAGAAAGAGAGAAAAGAGAGGGAGAGAGGAAGGAGAGAGAGAGAGAGAGGAAGAGAAAGAGGGAGAAGAAAGAGAGAGAGAGAGAGAGCGACACGAGGTAATTAAAGAAGGGGGAAGAGAGAAGGGAGATCTTGCCAACAATTTGAAATTACATACAAATTGACGATAACAAGATAAAAGTATGCATTGCAACATTATTAATAACATATTAACATATTAATAAGATGAAAACAAAATACATTGTAAACATTGTATGGCGCACCTAAAAATCTTTGGTAAGTTAGATATAAATGTTTAAATGATTTTTTTTTTTTTTTTAACGCAGATGGTAGTAGAAACATTACGAGAGTATAATAACAACCTCTTTAAAAAAAAAATTGATACAGGCGGATAAAGCAGAGAAGCAAGATTCAAAAGGAGTAATTGCAGACCTGCGCAAACTTTTACTAGTGTTAATAAAAATAATGAGCAACCAGAGGCAATTTAACATAATACATGTAATTATGAAACATACAGTATAAAATACCAAGATTAAAGAATGAGGTAAAACGTATTGGAAATATTTACATTATGTTTCTACATTTAGCAATAATATAATTGTTAAATCCAAGATAGTTAATTAAATCTAAAATACAATGCATTAAGATTTGGCAAATTGTAGATGTGTTCAGGCAAAGACTGCAATTTGAAAATGAATTTTAATGAATAAATTGTAATTTAAAAAGAGGCTTTAGATAACTGGAAAATAATTTATATACAAAAAGAAAAAACGTGGGAAAGAAATGAGGTTACTGAACATGACCTAATAGGTACCCCAGCAACTGTTCGTTGTCCCTTTCAATGATTTATCATCAATTGTTGGATGTGCAATGAGTAGAACAAGCGAACTCAAACTTGTGTAATTTCATCCCTTTTTTCAACTGCAAAAATACGTCGAGGTAGAGAGGTAGAAACACAGAAAATACACTGGAGAGGGCACTCCAGCTATGGCGTAGACACAACACGGGGAGCAATAGTTATAAGCCGTCGCTCGACTGGCGTAGAGCTTGGCGTCAGGGATTGCTCTTGACGGTGGAAGGGACCTTCGGATCTCACTGGACAGCTACCGTCCGCCTCAAACGGATCTGCGCAACTCCCGACTCTTCGCTTCAATAACCACCGAAGGCCCCGTCACCCTCATCAGTGCATACGCTCCAACACTGACCGCCACGCCAGACTTAAAGGATTAGTTCTACGAGAACCTCGCAACCACTGTTAGGAGCATCCACAGCTCGGAACAACTAGTTCTCCTGGGCGACTTCGATGTCAGAGTGGGTGCTGATAACAACTCCTGGCCATCCTGCCTTGGACAGTTTGGTGTGGGTAAAATGAACGAAAACGGACAGCACTTCCAAACACTGACACCTACTGGACTTGATCCTTACAATGCGCACCTCTCTCAAGAACGTGCTACTGATCCGATCCTATAAGAGTACTTACTGCGACACAGACCATTCACTGGTGTGTTGCAAGTTCAAGATGCAGCCAAAGAAATGCCACCGTGCCAGACAACAAGGAAAAGCACACATTGCAATCAGCAGGGTCTGCCAACCAGAACTTGTGGAGCAGTTTGTCACCGCCTTTCAGAAGGAAGTTAGTGCCTTTCAGCATAAAGAATCTGCAACAAAGAAGTGGGAAGAGCTGCGAAACACCATCCATCGTACAGCTTTGGCCACATTTGGGAACAAAAACCTCAAAGTCACATGATTGGTTTGAAGCCAAGTCAAACGAGTTGATTCCCATCATTTAAGCCAAGCGCGCCGCCCCAGCAGAGTACAAGAAATCTCCTATCAAGAAAAATCTCCAGATTCTCAGGGCTGCAAGAAGCATAGCTCAGCAGACGGCCAGGCGCTGCGCCAACGAATACTGGATCCAACTGAGCCAAGAAATTCAAACTGCTGCCATAACAGGGAACTTTAGAAGAATGTATGATGGCATCAAGAAAGCATTGGGAACAGTCCAGAACAAGACGGCACCCTTCAAATCCTCCACTGGGGAGCAATCACAACTTTGGTTGAGCTCGGCAAGGCCATTGACAGACTCGCTGCAGGAAAGGCGCCAGGCAGCGATGAAATAAAGCCCGACCTGATCAAACACTTTGGGCTGACTATCAGTCTGAAGAAGACGAACATTAGATAGGATGTAGAAGCGCCGCGGCATCCATCGCCATCCATCACCACTGATGAATACGAGCTGGAAGCTGTGTACCTGTTCACGTACCTTGGGTCCACCGTTTGCAGCAACCTCTCCTCTCCCTTGACGCAGAGCACAACA